GCGGGAACCCCGGGAGCGGTGGGGGACGTGGCAGTCCCCAGGGGAGGCACATGCGGTGATGCTCTTGGCATAGCGGTCTCTGGGCTGCTTGCCTATGCTAAAACTTCAGCTGCCTGCAGTTTAAGGGATGCTTTCGTTGCCCAAGGTGTGCCCTTGCTTAGATGGAGGCTCCCAAGGTGACTGGTCTGAGCAGTTTGGCTAGTCACCCACCCGTAATCCATTTTCTGCCCCAGAGTCTTCCAGTATGTGTTTGTGGCCTTTTTTTTTCTCCTCCTTGAGCTTAGGAAGCTCATGGCACCAGTGGCAAGATTGCCATTCTTGTCATGAGTGCCTCTGTGGAAGTGCCCGTGCCGTGCACCTGCTTTGTCATTGGCATCCTAGGTTTTGAAAAACATAGTGTGCTTTTTCCCTTACTGCTTGGTAGAGCTTTTATAATCGGGCAGGAGCTGTGTTTTTAGGTTGTGGTTCAGGACATGGAGCCACACCTGCACTTACCAATGGGTGAACGTGTAGTTCAGCCCCAAGACAGCAGAAACGCTTCTTATTGTAAGCTTAGTGTTGACCAAATGTGTCGCCTTGACAACAGTCAGAAGTGGAACGCTGAATATATTCTACCGAGGAAGATGAAAAGAAAAAGAGTATCGACAGTGGGTGCTTTGAGGTTCCTAACAAACTTCATACTGGAAGTACTGTATCTGGAGTTATTTGAGTCCTTATCCTTCACATCCCTTAGTACTCCTTAATTCAGAGGATTAATATAGCTACATGTGGTCTGCTTGTGTCAGTGCTCAAGCTGGCTATAATACTTTGGGAAAGGAGGTTAAAAATTCTGCTGAAACATCTAGCAAGGTTAGTGTGAAAGGAGGTTTTTATTGTGTGAAGGCTGGAATGAGGGAGACCGTTTCACACAGACCCCTGCAAAGACACTAGACGTGGGTGACCATTGGACGCTGTTGACCAACGCCTACCAATGCCCTTGGTGCCTAACTAATGGGCACTGTAGTTTATGTCCAGTATTCTGAGCTACCTAGCTCCTTAGATACTGTAGTTTCAGGAGATCTTAATGTTAGGATAACTTACAATCAGCCTAACAGGCTGAACCATGAGCTCCCCGTTATGATTTTTTGGCTAAGTAAAAGCTGTGAGGCAATGTTAACTCTATATATGGCAATAACGAGCCATTACTGGACTACGGTGTCCAGTTCTGGTATCTGTGCATGAAAAGGGATGCTGACGATTTGGAAAGGGTTCAGAAAAAAACTGCAGAAGTATTTAGACATCTGGAAGCTGGATCGTATGGAGTGAGGTAAACCAAGTGGGTTGAGCTGCTTATCAGGAAGTGTCAAGAGATGCTTGTGTCAGATTATAACTATCCATGCAAGGAGAAGCAAGCAACATATTGGCAGACAGGGGTAAAGCAAGATTGAGTGACAGGAATTTGAAACTGGACGTTGTCAGATTAGAAAGAAAGCATGTTATTTAGTGTACTAATGTAGCTGAAGAGTATGGGGTTGATTATGTCCCTTCAAAACTTGTAGAAGTCTAAAAGCTGTAAGTAAATATTAGCTAGGAAATAAAAGTTTTACATGAAAGACTCGACTACGGTTTTTATTAATATGCTTTGAGGCCTTGCTGCATCTCAATGGCATCACTAAATCTTTATCCTTCCCCAGAAATATAAATCTTTATCCTTCCCCAGAAATAAATGCTACTAAGCCCAAGCTATGCTTGCAGGGTATCTTTTGTTCCCTGTGCAAACCTGATTAAATCCTGTGTGCTGTCTGGAAAGATGTTTAAAACGTGGGTATTGGAATGATCACATAAGTCTCATTTACACAGTACTAATTAGATGCATTTCAAATTGACTAAGAAGTTTCCTAATATTCACTGTGATGTTAGTAAATAGGATTTACATGATGTTGGTTTTTCTTGAGAATCCAGTGGCTGCAAGGGTATTACCTATCTGAAAGAATGTGGTAAATAATTCCCAGAATTTTAGAAAGGCGAATTTATATGGTACATGTGTAAGTGACTCGGTATGCTTTTGGAAATTTGTTTTTAAACAGTCTTCCCTTCTTAGGTGTTCTGTTTCTCTGTTGTCTGCCCCAGCAGTTTGCTCTAAGCACAGGTGTGCTGCAAGTGCTTAAGAGGACTGATTAGTACCAGCTGAGACAACACATGGTTTGGTATCCTGTGATACTGGACTATTAGTTGACTGCATAGATCTTCTGTTTAATCACTGGCTGCAGCTAGAGCTGCTCTTTAGTATTACTGCAATAGTGTTTTAAATGGAGGAAAAAAGAAAAGAAAAAGGCAAGTAACATGTTATTTGTTCAGTCTCATGACTTGCAAAATGAAAATAAAAATATATTCTACTACATCAAATTGTAGTTAAGATAAAACAGTTTTGACAACAAGTATGTGAAAAATTAGAATGTGTATGATGAATAGCTTCAGATACTGAACTTTGTTCTTTGGTATTAGAATGTGCAGCATTCACATTGAAGTGAATGAGAATTCTGCCTGCATAAGCAGAACTCAGGCCCAAGTAATAACAAAATACATGCTGCAAAAAGATCAGATAACTGTACTCTGGATTCTTTCCCAAGTTCTTCCTTTGTCTACCAGTGTATTGGGTGTAGTTATTCACCGCTGAAATCAATGAGTGCATAGCATTGATTATAGCTGGAACAAGTCTGAACACAGTATTTGAGCAATAAGAAACCTTAATTTTGTGAATCCTTATACGTGTTTAACATAAAGTTGGTATGTGCATCTTAAGTTGTAGGGATCTGCTGTTCAGGGTTAATGGTAATTCATGGCTTTTGTAAGACTGTGACCTTGGACCATAAGAGTGATAATGGTTAAATATTATTAAAAAACATTACGTTGTGTAGTTCACTATGATGGGATAGTGTTTTGCAGTATAGATCTGTTTTAGTAGAAAGAATTTGCCTTGACTCATTTTCTTTTGTTTTTTCAGGAAAAGAAGTGGAGCAAGTTCAGTAGCTATCCAGTCTAACGTCTTACTGATATATTAAGGAATCTCACAAATACTGATTTTGAATTGAGAAAATGACTGCAGATATAGAAGAAAGTACAGGTTGTTGGAAAAGAATACCTGTCAAGAAGTGGAACATCCAATAGTTAATTTGGAAGTAGTATAAAATAAACATACCTGTTATGGTGCCGTTCTGGAGTGGAGTTAACTCTATAGCACACAGGTAGTCTCCAAGGAGAGAGAGAAAAAAAAAAGGCTTTCTGTTTTTCTAAATTATGGAAATTTTTTGGAAGACGTGGACATGGATTTTGAGCCTAGTCATGGTTTCATCGGAATTTCACAGTGACAACAGGCTTTCATATAGTTCTCAAGGTAGGGGTCTGACCTCTGTAGCTGACAAGAAGTATCTGTTTTTGTATTGCATTTGGGTAGTATTTTCTAAAGCATGTATATTTGATTTATGAGGTCGTGTGGGCTCTGCTGTTAGTTTTATCAAGATTCATTGTCATGGAAGTTTAAATACAACAAATCTGATGATATTTTTTGTTTAAATTTTCTTTCTGTCTACTTTTAACTATAAGAAAGCCTTGCAAATTACATCTAGTAAAATGTTGTACTTGGTAATAGTTTAGAGACTTGCTGTAATAACGTTAACATGTTTTTAGACTAGAAAGTAAGGATCTAATCTTACTTTGATCCTTAACATTTATAGGTTTTTAATGATATGAAAAGCTGTTTACATGTTTTCACAATATAATACTTTTCATTACTACTGTTTTTATTCTTGCAGGTGGATAATAGCTTTTGTCTTTGAATGGTATCACTGGGAAGAATGTGTATCTCTTAGGTTAGAATTTAACCCCATATGTATACATATTTTGGTTAAACTGGAAAAGATAGCATAGTTAACTTTTGTGTTTCCAGTGACATCAAATTAATAGGAAACTGAACATATTTTTTTGACTTATAAAGAAAGAAAAGTATGTTTTATTTTGTTTAGTAAAACGCTATGTCTTACGTTTACCTGATTGCTTTTACTTGTGAGAGTGATGAGATTTAGTCAATTATGGTTTATGATTATACTACTACTTCTTGTTTCCTGTTATATTTTCTTCTCTTCTATGCCCACTCCCTGGACTGTCTTGCCTTGTGATTACAAAGAGGAATTCCTGTCTTACCTTGAACACTACCAACTAACAATCCCAATAAGGGTTGATCAAAATGGAGCCTTCCTCAGCTTTACTGTGAAAAATGCTAAACCCTCAAGAAGGAGGAGGAGCACAGACCCTTATGACCAAGAACTGGCAGCATCTAAATTATTTTTTAAACTATCTGCCTATGGCAAGCACTTTCATTTAAACCTGACTCTCAACACAGATTTGGTGTCCAGACATTTTACAGTAGAATACTGGGGGAAAGATGGACCACAATGGAAGCACGATTTTTTAGACCACTGTCATTACACAGGATATTTGCAAGACCAACACAGTACAACTAAAGTGGCCTTAAGCAACTGCAATGGTCTGGTAAGTGCACATTACATGTTCTAGTATAATAGTGTGCTTGTCTGTTTTAAATTACAGAAGAACTTAATTGGCATATCTTTCAGTTTTTTGAGTCCCTGCGGGAAGCAAGCAGACAGGAGGGTGCAGAAAACCCCTAAAACCTGATCTGGGTCCCAGGGAAAAGTAGTCATCAGTTTTTCAAGCTTAATTGTAAGTACTAAGACCCAATTCTGTGGTCCTTTAGCAGGCAACATTTTCAGTGTTTACAGTGTCTGCACTGGGGCTGCAAGATTAGGTCTGTGCCGAGATCCTTACAGATCATAAAAATGTTGCAAGCTCAAGGGGCAGGGAGGAGGAAGCAGTGGATCCTATAGGATACTGAATCTCTCCATAGAGACATTGATTGAACTGACCATCTACTTGCTGTCTTTGAGAATTTGAATTTAGAAACTTTAACAGAGAAGAGGAATTGCTTGGTGTAGAAGTCATCATTGCTATAAATTCAAAGTGTGGAGAGGAACGTAAGTCCTTTGCAAGTACCAGCATCAGAAAGTAATTATTTACTTTTTTTTTAAAATATTTTGTTTACAAGTTGAAAACAGTTGCATTAAAAGTAGGATTAGAAATTATCGTCTCTTCTTTTACTCTTGATCGCTTGGTCACATGATGGTAGTACTTGCATGGGAAAAAGCTTCTTTTATTCCCAACAGAAATTAGAAAGCACATGCAAAAAATTTAAAAAAAAAATTATTGAATAAAATACTAAAATAGAAGGGCATGACCAGAAGATATAAATCAAGAGCCAGTAATTTATCTAGTAAAAATATATGTATATATTATGACTTTTCATTCTGGTTTTGATTGTAGTAGAACACAGGTCAAACTTCTTGTTAGGAACAGACAGGTCTAATTGCTAAGGGGGGAAAAAAAGAGATTACACAGGCTTGCTACCGTAATTCCTATTTATCCTTGGAAGTGCTATTGAATAATGCATCTTGGGACATTATTTACAAACAAAAGCGAGCTCCTTCAGGCCTAACTAGATTGCATTACACCTAGCTACTTGTAATAGCTCTGATACAGTCTAGGTTGACGTTTTGGAGTACTCTTGAGGAAAAATAACTTAATGGGGATTTCCAGGGCTAACTGAACACTTTCAAAGAAAGGTAGTTAAAATGGTGTTCCATGGAGTGTGGTATCACAGTTTGGTTAATGCAGATGTAGCAGATAGGTCTGAATTTAATATAATTTTCACTTTGGTTTTGCAGTTCCCATTTAATAACTTTTTTTTTGTCACAGTTATTTAAGCTCTTAAACTAATATACTCCATAATTTTGCTTTTCAGTTCATTTCAGCCAAAAATACTGTGGAGACCAAATCCTTGCTTTCAGGACTCACTTCTTAGAGAGGCATGCAGCCTCTTTCAATCTCCAGAGTTTCTGCCAGTTGAGACACAGACTGGTTGGCTCCCTTGGAGCCTGCAGTCAGTGCCACAGTGCTCCCATTTCAGTTCCTCTCCGACATTGTCCAGAGAGTGAGACAAGAATGCCTACACTTGCCTTAGCCACCTCTTGTTTCCCTTTCATAGTGGGAAGACAAGAGTGGGACGAAGCAGGAAAAAGGCCCTGATTTCTATGGGCTTTGCCCATCTCTTGCTCCTCGTGGCACTTCTTTTCTTCAGAGAATTTAGCAGCATGGAAGGTGTCATGATGAAGCAGAATCTTTTTTTTTTTTGCTTCCATACCTCACACCTTGAGGTGACATTTGGCATTCCCATTGCTGTGTCTTTCCACTCTGCCCTCAGCCTTGCTGTTTTGCTGGAGTGAAGCTGCCTGTTGTTTTGTTGTTCTAGGTGCCAGTATGTTAAGTTAGTGTTTGTAAGTTAACTTTAGTGTAGAGTGCTTCCCGGTTAAATCACCATCTTCAGTGCTTTTAGTTGTCATCAGTTCTTACATATTTCTTCCAGGTATTAAGGCAGCCTTAATCCAGTCTCTGGGTGCATCATGACTGGCACTCTGGAGTTCTCTGTTGGTCATGCCTCTTACTTGTGGCTGCAAGTGTCAGGTGTCCGCTGCTTCTCATAGAAGGTCCTAGTCACAAGCATGTGAGGCTCCTGCCATGCTCCAGAAGCAGCAGCAGGGGTGACACCAGGCTCTTTCCTAGAGAGATAGGAATCTCGCAGAAGGGTGCAGTGGTAGCCTCGACTCAGTATCGTCCTCTACTGTACAGAAGCTCCTCTGTCATCCAATGTTGGCAGGGCCTTGCAGAGCACTGAGTATGGGAGTTACCACTCTGTTCAGATAACTCCATCACAGTTATTTTTAAATGATGATTCCTGTGGATGAGTATTTTGTTATACAGCTGCTGGTTAGAACATGTTTAATAAAACAATTGGCAATGAATATTGAAGACAATACTACTTGTTGTAGAATTAGTGATAGTTCAGAATATGTCGTGCTTAAGGCATTCATAGTATTTTCCAGTCTGATTGTTGGTCTGTAAGAGACTGCCAGTCGCGTTCTGCATAGTCATTGATTAACATCTGTCTGAAAGCCAGTCATTTTAAGTTTAACTCTAAAACAAGAAGTCTTTAACAGTGAGTGTTGCTCACAAGCAAAATTTAAGCATTCTGTTTATTCCAGTTGTCCTGTTAAACTTCAGTATTGCCAAATTAGTCAAATTTCTTCCCCTTAGTGAATGATTTGAGTTATTCTGTTTAGTTATTAGGGTGGTCAGGTGAGACCATTAACATGGTCTCAAGTTGTATGACTTTGGAGGACACTTGTAGTGTCTGAGATGAGTTCTAGTGCAAGGACAGCTTTCTCTCAGTTTTGTTATAATAAAAGTGACGAGCAGTCAGTTCATTTCCCTGTCACTGTTTCCTGTTTCAGCCTTTCACTCTATATTTCTCATTACCAAGTGCCCTAGAATTACAGGCTGCTACTTACTGAAGGTTCATTCCAGCAGTTTCCATCTGCTGGGCTCTGATTATGCTATAAATTGTCTGAAGTTATGAGGAAAGCTCTATAATCCAGTGAGCAGTTGTGAGGAAATTGAAGGTCTTGTCCGGCAGGCTTGCTGGCTCCCAAACTCATACTTACTTTACTGGATGTTACATTTGTGGATGGATTGCAGGTTTGGCCTTCTTATGAAAGAGCCTGCAATGAGCAGCATTTTGGGACCTTTGGATGTTGGTTGCAAGGCAACAAGTCTGAGGCATTGCTCAAGCTGAGTATATCATACTGAAGGAAAGAAGAGAAGAAACAGTGGTAGATTGAAGAGAGAAGAACTTCACCTCAAGGGAAGGAATCTGTTTGTTTAATTCTGAGGAGAGCAAGTCTTAAAGAAGAAAGGTTTTGGAGCTTCTAGTAGTGAAATCGAGCAGAAATCAAACTTTCTCTGTTCTGATCCCGCTCTGTCCTCTGCCAGGTGTCAAAGTTCTTAACTTTGAGTGCTCAAACAAGTTTTCCACAGTAGTGGATTTTTCTCATTTTGAGCTGAGGAGCCCCGTAGTGGGAAATACTTAAAAATATGTAGAAAGTGATTATTATTAGGAAAGTGATTGAGAGGTTAAATCACATTTTGAGGCTATTATGGTTCCAAGGAAATGTTTAGTGTAAAAGGCCAAGTATTTCCATGGCATGTGAAGTTCCATGCACTGAATAACATTTGTGCTGGTTAGCACAGATGTCTCCATCCAAACAGAAATGTTAAAGAAAGCACAAGAAGTAGGTTGTGGCTGAAAGCATGACCTTACTTGGTTAAAGGAGGAATTATTTTGCTGGAAGACTTCATGTTTGTTTCATGTATTCCTAAATTCATATATGTATAAATTATTCATATTCTTCTTAAATTAGCTCATTTGAAAGCTGATTCTACCGTAAAGAATGCATATAGTTTTATAGATTATAAATTGCATATAGTATAGTATTTTTGAGTCCTGTGTAAAATGATGTCTAATTTATAAAATAACTGATAAATATCAGAAGTGATACTGGAAAGGATTTAGTGTTCTAGATTAGTGTCCTTAGAGTTCTCTTAGGTACCAATATGTGTTTGCGGTATAGACTTAGTATTCAGAAAATTATATATAAGCTGTCCCTGAACTAGTTTTGTTAGATTCCATGATACACTGTCTCAGGCCGGATCACTTTTTTTCGTCTTTAGGAACACAGTAAGCTAATGCAATCTTTTTGCTCAGTTATAAGACCACACTGAAGTGTGTAGCCAGCAGTAGATATCCTGAACAACGCTGATATGTTTTCAGAAGTTTCCCTTTCCATACTACTTTATATTAAAAATGGATAAAGTATAAGGTCTAGAAAGGTTCAAGGTGTGGAGAAATTGTAAGACAGTAGTACTGTGTGGAAGAGGCACACATTTATTTGTCCTCCATAGTTCTGTTTGCTTGTGTGACTGATGGACATCCCCCATCTGAAGGAGGATAAGGCCCCAGCTGGACAGCCTGGCAGAAAAAGATTCCTTTTCACAAATTCGGGGGAGCTCCATGTTTCACAGCTTTGTCTGAGCATGTCAAACTGCTGGATCCAGACCTTATATATGTTAGCAGGAGTTGGCAGTCTGTAGTGGGGTTGGATAACACAAGACCTCAAACAATCTGTTTTAGATAATAATCTTGGGAATGTTGCTTGTAGTAACCTACTTGGGGCATTCAGCTTGTTTCTTAAATTCATGGTATTTTGTGAAAACCTTTTGCTGATCATTCTCGTGTCTTAATGATATTTCTTATGCTTTGGAGCAGAAGTTTAATTTACAAACTGTTCTAATACAATAACAAAACTGAAAAAAATTTAAAGTTAATTCTTTTTAATGCTTTAAAAGGGCATTATTTCAAGTTTCTTTTTCAACTGAAACTGTGTTTTGCTCAAATAGTAGATCATAAGCCAAAAATGGAGTTTAGAATGTTGATTTAGATATAATAGAATAATTTCCACTATTTATTAATCAGGTATTGCTGAATGCGCATACAAAGGAAGTATCTCTAGCCACATGAATTTTGTAAACTTAAATGCTGTTTTTTGCTGACAGAGGTACTTTTATGTACAGAATTTGGAGTGCTTCTTAAAAATCAGTTACTGTGATTCTGCAAGACCACTCGCATCAGTTTAATATGGGAAGAACAGTTTTGTTTGCAAGCAAAATTACTGTTAGGTTTAAAATTGTGTACGTATGGCATGCTTATTTGAAGGGCATATGCAGGGCAAGTGTGTTTCCAGTGTTAATCAAATCACTTGGCTAGCTGCAGCAAATGACCACATAGATGTTCTGACTACCTGCTGGTAGGTGCAAACCACTATAGTGTTTGGACAGGTGAGATCAGATGTCAGCTAGGCATAGGAAAAAACTAGTGATGCTCTCCTATCCTTTTTCACTACTGATACCTGAAGAAACTGCGATGATAGTTTGCAGATATTCGTAATAGTTTTTGCGTATTTGGTCCTGCAAACACACAATTTGTATAGAGGATTAATGCTGCAATGAAGTGTTGGTTATAGCATCTGAATTGACTCACTCCCACTGAGGTCATCTCCCTGCTTAAAGCTGTCTGTTTCAGTATCTGATATAAATGTCTCATTCATGCTTAGACTTGTTAACTTGGCTGGACTTGAGTACAGACATGAAGGATATATGCTCTGGAGTAATCAGATTTAGGTTAAGACCCCCTCTGTTGCAGGTTGGATGGTACCTCTGTCTCCTAAGGCTTGGCATGAAGCAGACAGCATGATGGTGTTGGCCAGAACTGCTCTGCAGGACGCTTTTCCTGTGGGAACATAATACCAGAGCTTATAATGGCTCAGGATTCGCTTGAACCCAGATGTCTGACATCCAGACTGGACGCAGTCCAGACTGTCAAGGTTCTTTCTGCACATCTGGCAAACCCAGTTGCAGTTTGGTTTATATTTTCAGTGCTATTTAAGCTGCAGAGTACCAGTAAATGATTTATTTTCTAGTAAAATCTTAGACTCCAAGTAACAAGAAGGCACTGTGAGAGGAATTTGATACCAGCATCTTCCAGGTGAATATAGACACTGATGTTACTTTCTTGAGTAAATAATTGAGTTGGTAATGAAAAATACCACTGAAGAGGGAACACTTATGTTATAGTGACTAATGTAAGGAATGTGTAATTGAAAGCTGCAATGTGTTCATACATATGTTTTCAAAATTTATGATAGGGTTATATTTGGAAAACGGGTCTTTCTGACGTGGTATACAAGATTTTTTATTTTCGAAGTTTTATGTTGTTACTGAAATCCGATTATTCCAGGAGCGAAGAACAACAGGCATTTGATGTATAATTTGATGTACAAAACAGCAGCAGGATGAGAGTACAATGGCAAGCCCTGATCTTAGAAACAGCTTTAGGATATTTAGAGCAGATACAGAGCAAGTGGTCTTACGGCTGATCGTAGAGGTCCCATTGGAGAGGAAAAAAATAACCCCTTTAAAAAAACTCATGCATGGTACTTGCTTCACAGATCAAAGGTGTGGTAGAAATCTGTGATTCAACAAATCAAGATATGAATTCAGAAGTTCTTGCTTCCAGTCTCCTATCTGATGAGTAGCTCTTTCTCCTAGTGCAGAAAGTTCATACATTGAGAATTTTCTAGAAACAGATACCAGAATTTTTCATTTAGCAAAACAGATGTAGGAGTCTGTCAGGGCTTGTTCCCCAATATTTCTGTATCCGAAAGGATCTCAAAACTGGATTTTCTGCTAAAGTTCAGTTTTAATTGCTGAAGGTTCAGGAAATTGCATAGTTGGCCCGAAATCTTCCCTTTCTTCCATAAACCACTTCCTGTTTGGAAGAAGCTGAGTTCACAAATGTGAAAGTTATGAGAATAGAATATGTACTATTTTGCACTGCAGAATGAGGAAAAAAATGTTCATTTGTTGTGGAGAATGAGGTTTAGTGCACAGTCTGCAACATCTCGGATTTGCCAGATTTGTGGCAAGACCTTTTAGGGAATAAATGCTTTGTTAAAAGTGTATCCTAAGTTAATAATTCGATTTTAATAACTAGCTCAGTTTTGGAATTAAGCATCAATGGGAAAGAACTCCAGAAACAGGGCAATGATGTTTTTATTCTTTTTCTCATTGTATTGCTTATAGGCGCTTACTCCTACTCCCACTAAAATCAGTGGAGGACAGTTGGCTTGTGCATTATTTTCTGTATTGGCTTATAGTTGTGGATTTCTTCACAGAGACAGATGACAGTCAAATGTTTTTTAAAGTTAAGCTTTTTAATAGGAGTTTTATATTGTCTTTTGTAAGTTTTTATTTTCTTATTTTCTTCTTTAAGCATGGAGTCATTGCTACAGAAGATGAAGAGTATTTTATTGAGCCTTTAAAGAATATAACGGAAGATTCTAGTAACTTTAATTATGAGAATGGTCATCCTCATGTTATATACAAAAAGTCTACCATGCATCAGCAACACCTCTATGATCACAGTCACTGTGGAGTCTCAGGTAAATGAGTATGAGTGTCATTCCTTTTAAAAACTTACAACTGATTAAATAAAAGATGTGTTTTAAAATCTTGCTTGGTTCACATGTAAGACAGTGGAGAATGTAGCAACGGGAATCCGCCTTTTGGGTGTTGCAGTGTGCCCTGCTGAAGAGCAGTTTTGTTTTTTTTTTCAGATTCAGATCGAGAGCATAGTGCTTTTCAAAAACTGAGACACTAAGAGTTAAGTCTTTTTTTATGCCTATATTGTGTACAGTGGTAGTAATGAGCACAGGCTTCCTCAAAATGTGCTATAAATGTACTTTGTTCCCCAACTGGAAAGCGTGACTGAATCATAGAATCATAGAATGGTTAGGGTCGGAAGGGACCTCAAAGATCATCTAGTTCCAACCCCCCTGCCATGGGCAGGGAAATCCTCCACTATACCAGGTTGCCCAAAGCCTCATCCAACCTGGCCTTGAACACCACCAGGGATGGGGCATCCACAACTTCTCTGGGCAACCTGTTCCAGTACGTCAACACCCTCAATGTAAAGAATTTCTTTCT